CATTTTAATTTGCAAATGTTGTTATTTCAAACTAGACGTTTTTGAAGGAAAAATACTAAGAGAGTATTAAATGCGGTAAGGTTTATGTTAACTTTAAGTATTTTTTAATTAAAAATTTGGATAAATGTCAGTAATGAATTTACCAGAGGGACACTTTGTACAAAAGTCGATTGCTTGGGTACCTCTGTCCCATTTGTGTTTCAACCGTGAAGCAGTTGTGTTTGCATGGCCGTGTTTCAGTTTGAAGGGTGGGGATATGGCGTTAATTTACTGGGTACAGAGGTATAACACCTGAGTCTTCAGGAATGGCAACGCATGGAGGGTATCATGGGCGAAACAGTATACTCTGTTATGTCCATGGTACTACCCATGTCTATATGCGACGGTTACCACTTTCCATCAGGTGGACTGTCAGTTTGTTTGCCATTCTAAGTTGTATAAAAAAAACGATGGTTACAATTTGACTTTGTAATTCTAGATAAAATATGACAGTGAAATTATAAGGTACAGACGCATAATACTTTAGTCTTCAGGAATGGCGAGGTCTGAGTGGTGGTGACAGTATATTTTGTAAAACCCACGATTTTGTTTATGTCTATTTCAGTAACAAACAAGTAAAAAAAGTGATTGAAACAAGACAAGTGTTCTCGAAGGAAAACTTGGTTAAATGTAATCCGCTTGTTGTGAAATGGGTCGTTTGATGTTAAATCGACCATTTCACAGTATATTTGTTTACATAATCGGACACTTGCACCACCTAGCGGTGACAATTATAGAACGACGTCGAAAGACAACAGACAGTATTATTTTATTTTTATATTTAACCATATCTTATATATATATATATATATATATATATATAATTAGAGATAAGTAATTAAAAAATTAAATATATATATATATATATATATATATATATATATATATATATATATATATATATATATATATATACATCGGACAAACTAAAGTTTCATCCCAATCATCTGGACGAGTGGCGGTCTTCCACCGACAAGGCACTTTCTTCCACGCACAACCATTCTTTGGAATCAACTTCCAGCAGCAGTATTTCCGAACCGATACGACAACATAACCTTCAAGAAAAGAGTTATTTTTTTATTTTTATATTTATCACCATATCTTATATATATATATATATATATTTAAAAATATATATATAAAAATTTTTTTGAGATCACTGCCAGCTGGTAGGGTGCCTAGGATACTTGCTGCATTTCCACGCTGAATAGCAATGGGAATGCGTTAACCAAAGTATAGGCCAGCCTTCTGGTCACCAGAGGTTTCCACCAGCCGGCATGAAATCTCTTTGAAAAGATTCATGGCCTCGGGGCCCCACGGACCCAGAGTTTCAACTCCAAACGCCGCAAATATATATCCAATATTTACGGCGCTTGATAGACTCCTGGTGTGTTGCGGCGGCACCAGTCCTCTAGGATGTACTTTGAAGGTGAGACGGCGCCACCGTGTCGACGCAGACAGTTATATCAATGACTTTATAATAAATAAATATATACATTACAAGCACGTGGGAGATACACATCGAAATATATCTGAACATGTAACTAAATACTTAAAAATAATAAAACTTAGTTAAATCCCACTACCTATCCTTATAATCACTTAGTCCTATGTATTTCCAGTTTCATGTATGTTATATATATATATATATATATATATATATATATATATATATATATATATATATATATATATATATATATATATATATATATATATATATATATATATATATATATATATATATATGTGTGTTAGTATGGTATATTTGTATGTATTTAAGCGTATATATGTATGTATTTATTTATGTATGTATGTATTTATTTATGTATGTGTATATGACCATGCTGTCACAGATATTATTTTTTACAGATCTATTTCTTCTAACGCGCCACCTACCTACTTATGCTTTAATTCCTTTTACCCAAAGCTTGTCTGGAAGAGATTGCTTAGCAAAAAGACCGCCATTTGTACTACACTATACGTATTGAAAATTGTTCAACAAATCCTGTTATGTTGGTGCAATAAAGTGTTAAATAAATAAATAAAAATAAATAAATAAGCATTAAATAAAATTAGTTAACACTAGCTATTTTATTGAATTTTTACTACCTATTTTCCATTGTTATGCTCATGTAAACCAGTATATTAAAACATCCTATGCGATACGTTAGATTACAAACCTATCCGTGTACTAAAATTTATCAAAATCTCTTCAACAGTTTTAGCAATAAAAAAACAATGAACATCTTTACCAACTTTGACATTTACATACGAGTAAGATTGGCTTAATCATTTTATTTTTTATTTTTTCATATCTTATTGGTAATTTATTTATTTATTTACTTATAGGATTACCAACATAAGATACAGCTAAGCATTTTAATACAATACACTGGTAGATTAGATCTTACAGTTCTTACATTTATAGGCATTCATCATTTCATGGCTGAAACAGTCTCTGTTATGTCCATGATACTGCTCATGCCGTCAGTTTGTTTGCCATTTAAGTAGTACTAGCTGTTGCCCGCGACTTCGTCCGCGTTTCCGTCGTTTTTTTTAAAATAAGTAGCCTATGTCCTTCCTCACGGTTCAGTGGTTTTGATGTAACAGACACATTTCACTTCACTGCTCTGCTCCTATTGATCGTAGCGTGATGAAAAGTATACTGTAACCTGCCCAGGAGTATGAAGAATAATTGTACCAAGTTTCGTTAAAATCCGTCGAATAGTTTTTGTTTCTATAATGAACACAGATAGACAGACAAAAATTTTACTGATTGCATTTTTGGCATGAGTATCGATCACTAATCACCCCCCCCCGTAGTTATTTTGGAAATATATTTCATGTACAGAATTGACCTCTCTACAGATTTATTATAAGTATAGATAGATAAAAGATATAGATAAAAAAAATATCATCCCTCACTGGTGTCCCGCCAGTGTATACCGACAGCGCAGGCGGAGTTACCATTCCATTATCAACCATTAAAAAGATAGTATAGCCTCTATCATTTGACAATTAGCATTTTACCAAAATAATTTAATTATTTTAGTTTTTAGTTATTGAAGAGATACGTTGCAGTACAGCAAGAGGCTTGATTGGTAACATTTATTGTTCCGCCCTACTTAATACGTCATTGCATCATTATTATGCAAGCGGTAAAACAAAATCCAATAAAATGTACAACTCGCCGTGTAATCTTGTGTATAATCGCGACTCACTAGTGACTCTTGGCCACAGCAGAATATCAGTGTTTTGCTCTTTTAAGGGCAAAGCAATAAACTGAGATGTGACCATTTTACGTTACTATGGCACACGCATGAAGGAAGGGAAAGAAGGGAGATTGTTAGTTTATATATTTTGTTTTTTTATCGTTTTGTGCTTTTTTGTTTTCGTTCTTTTGTCTCTTTTTTTATTGTAATTTGTGTGCTGTAAGTGGTGTAAATAAATTATCTATCTAATAAAAGAAAATTTTGTATATAAAAACTACATTTCTACCGTGAAGAGCAGTGCGTGCATCGTTCGTTGCGTTTCGGTTAGAATGGTAGTGAAGTGAGTGAGGTACGACCGTGACTGATTTTTTAATATAACTCTATCAATGAGTCAACTTTAGAGTCACTAATGACTTCAGAAGGTGGCACGAATATAGGCGGATTATACTAAACATACTAAATACATATTTAGTATGTTTTAACAGATATTAATTTATTGTGTGGTCCCGGCATGGAATGAGCCATTTACAATAAATAACAAACATATATACATAACTTTTTTTTTACAACACAGGGAGCAAACGAGCATGCGGCTCACCTGATGGTAAGTAACTACCGCCGCCCATGGTCACCCACAACACCAACAGCATTGCAGGTGTGCAGCAGGCCTTTTAAAAAGGAATACGTTCTTTTCTTGAAGGTTATGTTGTCGTATCGGTTCGGAAAAACTGCTGCTGTAAGTTGATTCCAAAGAGTGGTTGTGCGTGGGAGAAAGTGGCTTGAAAAACGCACGGTGGAGGACCGCCACTCGTCCTCCACCGTGCTCCTCTGGTTGGGATGAAATTTTAGTTTATGGCGGGTTGTACGATGGTGAAAATCAACAGCAAGTATCAATCCGAACAATTCTTCAGAACACTCCCCATGATAAATTCGGTAGAAGATGCACAGAGTTGCAACATCTCTACGCAGTTTCAGTGGGTCGAGTCGTACTGTAAAGTGCCAAACGTCAACAATTTGAGTTGCCTGACTTTGAATGCGGTCTAACGGATGGAGTTGGTATTGTCTTAGCTTTTTCCTCCAGATGACCGCAATACTGGACGTCGCTAGATATATCGACGCCAAGAATCCCCAGACTTGACTTATTATCGAGGGAAGTGATAACTAATTACTAATAACATAATACTGGCCGTGTGGTCCCAGCATAGAATAGGCCACCCCTTCATTTCCTGTGGGTGTCGTAAGAGGTAACTAAGGCGTTTCTCTTAAAACATTTCAAAAGCCTAACTGCGGTTGCCAAACCGCCTGCCTCTCTTCTCTTAAAACATACAAAGATACATTATAAATAAAATATGTTCATAAGAATAGAAGATGTTCTTTCAGTGTACTCTTAAAAATATTTAGGGATTGACTCTCTCTAATAGGCATAAGAAGGGACCACAATCTGGTAGTGTGGACAGTAAAAAACTCGCTATTGTGTGTAGACGAATGAAAAAGGATTTTTAGGACAAAATACTCTGTCGAATAACAGGATACACCACGTGGAAATAGGAAGTCAAAACGTTCACGAAGATAGGACGCTAAAGAAGTATTGTATAGAAATTAATTAAGCTATATTAAAACAGGTTTTAGTAATTTATATGAGATATGAAAGGCACTAGCGCCCTTTGATGCGCTACCTTTTTCGTTGGGAGCTTAAAGTATATCCAATTGTTAACGATTCCCAGCAGGTATACAAACATTACTTACTGTTATGCGCTGGTGGTGGCATATGCTGCTCGTTGAGGATCTGGCAGAGCTCCGCGGAGCCGGTCCAGTAGTTGTTGCCCCAGTAGAACATCGAGTTGTACCGCCCGCTCGCGTCCTCCACTGGGGAACAATAAAGAAAACCTCGTTACGTTTGCTGAAAAGTTAATTAAGCTATTATCGCAGACAGAGAAGTGAGAGAAGTGTTTTTAAATTGATTATTTTGCATTTTTTTAAATCGAATTAGATAAAATGGTAACCACGCTTGCGCTATCGGTTAACACTGGCGGGACACTGGAGTTCCGATGATAGGTGAATTTGAAAGCAGGCCAACTAGCCTAGTTGGCCCATCGCGACGAATTCATCAATAATTAATCACGGTGGTTTCCAGGGACAACCGCGTGGAGAATTATCTCTTAGGGTATGTTGCTAGTAATAGGATTGCTGATCCCCAGTACCAACAATCTCTTCTCTGCCCTTATTATGCGTTTTCAGTGCTTTGTAATAAATGAAGGATAATTCGAATTAGAATCCTATGAGATTCAAACACAATATTTCTAGCAATGTTATTGTAAGACTCTATCACTAACTATCCCTTTCCCCTCCCCTCACTATTTTGTATTACTACTATTAGTACGATTGAGGGGGGTTCTGGTCTCATCATAGTTCTACACGAAAGCATCTGGCACTGTGATGTAAGTATAAATGCCAGTAGGGGCCTCCAAAGCTTGGGAGACCTGTTTAGTTTGGTCTGGCGCGTATTTTGCGGTTACGCCGCTAATTTGACATGTCTTTGGGAATGAATATGATAGCTAGTTAGCGTGAATATGAAAGCCGATTATTAATAAATTAGAATAAGATGCAATGATAAATGATGTATGAAAAGATATATATATATATATATATATATATATATATATATATATATATATATATATATATATATATATATATATATATATATATATATATATATATATATATATATATATAGCCACATTGCTTGAAGTGTCTTTTGTAAAGGCCATAAACATAACTGAATACGAGAATTTAAATTTAAATTACCCATAATAATAAAATACGAACTCTCGTTCGGACGGAACAATAAATAAGTAAAAGTGCAAAATGAGTTTTGACAATTTACAGCCGCCATATTTTAAAACAGCTTTGAAAAGATTTTACATTTGCTCATTTTTTTAGTCATGTACCTATTGGCGATTGAATTTCATAATTATTTTGACAAGCGTATTGGTCTAAAATTAATTTACTTTCTATTCTCTATCTTTTCGTTTTGTAATAGCCGACTAAGGGAGGGCGAGGGATAGGCAGCGGCGTCCCTCTTAAAACATCTCTAAAACCTAACTGCGGTTACAATCCGCCTGCTAAACTAAACGTAGTAACTACTGGCAAAACCCCTCACGGGGGAGATTTTGTACAAAACCAGTTTTGTGGCACCAGAGGGAGACTTTTTACAAAAGTTTATTGCTTGGGTACCTCTGCCCCATTCGTGTTTCTACCGTTAAGCAGTTGTGTTTGCATGGCTGTGTTTCGGTTTGAACGGTGGGATATGGCGTGAATTTACAGGGTACAGAGGAATAACACCTGAGTCCTCAGGAATGGCAACGCATGGGGGGTATCATGGGCGAAACAGTATACTCTGTTATGTCCGTGGTACTGTTCATGTCTATAGGCGACGGTTACCACTTTCCATCAGGTGGGCCGTCAGCTTGTTTGCCATTCTAAGTTGTATAAAAAAACAACTTCAACAGTGGACAGTTAAGGGTTGATTTGATGATACTTTTTAAATAGTCAGTCAGAAGTACTGTACATTATATAATTATTTTTGTAAATTTACTGATATATCCTCAGTTGCCTATCTTTTATGTGAAAAACTGAATAAAGGTTATACTTATAATCGCCCTTGTTTACTTCCATATTGGTTGTACAATTTAATATTAAAATGGTAGTTCTTTCTTCTTGACCCACCTTGACCTTTACAATAAAATGACCCCATCATCAATAACGATGTGACAATGAGGAAGTGAATTTAACCATTGTATGCTCATCGCAACTTACTTCCATGACCTTTCACTTTCGGTTCCGGACTTCTTATAACAGGTCACCGCTGTATGCGATAATTCTGTCAGCACATTGGATAATTAAAATCAATTATTGACAACGTGTAGAAGTCCGTCGATTCGTATAAACGAGGTCACGGATTCAATTCTCGAAGGTTTATTACAAAATTATAAACTTTTGAAAATATATCTTTTTTTTAATATTATTATTTCAGCCGTTAACTGTCCACTGCTGGACATAAGCCTTCCCCAAAGGGAAGTTTCGCCAGTAATTGCCACGCTTGGCAGGCAGGTTGGCAACCGCAATTAGGCTTTTAGAGATGTTTTAAGAGGGACGCTGCTGCCCATCCCTTGCCCTCCCTTAGTCGCCTCTTACGACACCCACGGGAAAAGAAGGGCTGGCTCATTTTATACTGGGGCTATGGCACACATGGCTATTTGAAAACAAGTGAGGTTTAAATTGGACATTTTTTTATGCTCTATGATGTCAATTTGCAAGTTAGTTGAATTTTATTTGTAAAACTCTCAGGTTTAAACGTCAATAATAAGCTCTTGTTTAAGCTAATTCAGTAAATAAACCATTCTATAATGACTCGAATTCCCTGTTCCAGGGCCGGTTAATCATGTTGGAACCATGGATGTAATGCAAGAGTTGCTTACAAAAAAAAAGCTATAATATTATGAATAATAGTTTAAAATCGTCATGAAATATAAGTATACTAAAATTTATAATGTAATTTGGAAAAAATATACAATAATATTTTTATTGAGGGTTTGTAAGTTATTTTTCCATGTCACTTTCAGTTAGAGAAATATTTTTGAAAAAAATATTACGAAGCACGGGGACCCTGGCAGGTGGGAGGCCTAACGGCAGTTGCCTACACTGCTTAATGGATAATCAGACTCTGGTTATATTTTAACCTTCAAGCAAGCTCCCCTCCTAAGCATGTAGCAATTGATATGAATTTTAAATGATTCAAATATGAATTTGTAAATTCAAAAGTTTAGGCTGGGATTCGATCTTGCGATCCCCAGATCGGAGTCAAGCGTTGCGTTGTACAATTAAATTTGGATGTTGCATTCGTGTGATGTTTACCTACTGTTCGAGCGTTACATGTTTTTTTTTTTTAAATAAATTTTACATGAATAATAAATACTGCCAGTACCTACTCCGAGTGATGTGACGATATAAATTTGGTTCTAACGAAACGCAACTTTCACACACGTGTGCACTAAAAAGAAAGAGTTATTTTATTTAAATTTGAATTTTATAAACCTGCGTGCTTCTACGCTTTGCATATCGAATGAGCCCTGTAAACCTTTATCCAAACTTAACCTGACGTATATGTGTTGGAAACTAACTTTGCTATGTTCTTATTATTGTTTTTTTCCTGTTATTGAATTGCGTTGAATGAATATCCCACTGGTGGGGGGAAAGGGATTGTTAGTAATGGAGACTAAGAATCCCATTGCTAGCAATATACCCAACCAGGTCGACCTCCTCGCGGTTCCCCCTGGAAACGATTGTGGTTAATTCTTGATGGATTCATCATGATGGGCTAACTGGCCTGTTTTCATCTTTATCGATCACCCTTCACTGGTGCCCCGTCAGCGTATCCCATTAGCGCAAGCGGGGTTACCATACCATTTTCACCCATAAAAAAAAATATCCCACTGGACATCATTATTTCATTATTTCAGCCATTAATTGTTTACTGTTCAACATAAGCCTTCTCCATAAGGGGAGGTTTGCCAGTAGTTGCCACGCTTGACAGGCGAGTTCGCAACCGCAGTTAGTCTTTTAGAGAAGTTTTAAGATGGACGCTGCTGCCCATCCCACGCCCTCCATTAGTCGCCTCTAACGACAGCCACGGGAAAGGAAGGGGTGGCCTATTCGATGCCGGGGCACATGCGACAAATTATAAGGTAATAAACATAAAAAATACAACCGAATTTAAAATCTTTATTCTGAAGTCTATTGCAAAATGTATATAAGTTTCAAAATCCATTAGAACGTAACATACATTAAAATGGTAATAAAATATAAAAAGGCAGGACTAGTGAGATAGCGACTACAATCGCTACAGTTCAATGTCCTCGCCTTGATCCAGTATCGAAGGTTTTATGTAATAGAAGTACATTCTAGCCGCGGTATCCTGCAGTCCTAGAACCACTGATATCTGATATCGTGACTGCTTCTAATTATATTACTGTTTCGCATTTTAATCATTACAGGGCCGCAGCTATACCCAAGTTTCAGGTAGGGCAAAAGAACTTTTTAATAGGGCAGAAGCCATAATTAAGTGACTTCGAAAAAGCGAATCTGTTTAATTTTCTTGAGGCCTTTCATTTTAAGGTAGGGCATTGGGACTTTTAAGGTAGGGCATTGCCCTCAGTGCCCTCCTAGCTACGGTCATGAATCGTTACATAGATTTATTCATTGCTTAGAAATAATACGTATAGAAATAAGGTATAATTTACGGATCTATATCAGTAAATTAAGGATTGGATACTTGTAATATAAGTATGTAGATTATTTACTTTATACAAAATAAAAGTATCGTAATTTGTGGGAGATCTGGAGCCTAAACAAAGTAGTACTTTGTTCAATAACAACCTGATTAAATACCGTTGACCCTACGGCAATGAGATAAGTCCAAAGCCAATAGGTTCGTGTTTAAAAGATATTATATTAGCATTCATTATTATTGATATGAAACCTTACACTGACATTGCAGAAACTTCAAAGAGTAAAGTGTTAATTTGTAATCTTTAAAGATCTGTAGACAGGGTCATTTTGTAATTTATTTGGAGAACGTAAAAAGATTTGGGACAGTTGTTTTTATAAGGACGTTAAGTGGACTTATTATACCAAACTTATATTTGACTAAATTTTATAACTTCAACGAGATAGATTAGAAAAATTCTGCTTGGAAACTTACTTTTCATTTTTATTTTTCAATAAGTCTATTTCTACCCTAATGGGAGACAGGCGTGACAGATATGTATGTATGTATGTATGTATGTAAGTCTATTTCTGTGCTA